TGATGTTGTTGTTGTTGTTGTTGTTGTTGGAGTAATATGAAGCCACCTCAATACAACTGTTATAAATTAGAGATAAATCAATGCCAAATAATAAACCAAACATAATATCATTAAACAAAAACAACTAAAAACATAAAGAGTACATGACAACATGAATTTTTTTTTTTTACACTGATTAACGACTGCATTATAGTACACTACAACATAATGGCAACAAGCATGATTTAACTTGAGCATAATTTAATAAAATTGTTAAATTCTGGAAAAGTTAAATACTAAAAACTGTTTCACAAGATAAATCTTAAATCCTATTAAATTTTGTAGAACTATTTGATAATATAATCTAGGATTTCAACCGGTTAGTTCATTATTAAATTGCATTTTAATTTTTGTTTATATTTAAAGTACAAATTAATTATTAATTTTAATTTTAATTGTTATCAATAAATTAAAATTAGAAAATAATATAATTAAAAAGTAACTAATTTTGAAATAACTTATTAATTTTAAATTTGATTATATTTCATTAATTTTAATTATTTATGAGTTAGTTATTAATCATTAATTTAATTACCATTACTAAGTAAGAATTATAATTAATTATAATCAACGTAGTTAAACTAAATTAATTTATTCCTATGTTCTCTAGCAATACAGAAACCTTCCTATAGCCGCACAGCCCGCAGGTTTGCTTGGGTTTGCTTTTTTCTATTCTCTTGCAATTCGTTGCTATTCTACTTCGCCTCTTTGCGGGTTGGATTTACGCTAAATCCTACTAAAGACGCCGGACAAATCCGATACCAAACACCCCCTAAATGTGGGATTTATCCTACAACGCGAGGAAAGTGAGATTTTAAAAAATAGAAGAATTTATGAGATTCTAAAAATGATTTGACAAGATTTAAATTTTGGCTAAATCTTGCAATCAAACAGCCTCAAAAAGCAAGAAAAAAAAGAGGTTTTATTTCTGAGCAGGCTCTTGTATTTTTCTAGCATAACAAAAGTCAACTTTATGCGCAGTATACCTTGCAGAGAGAGTTGAAAAAAAACCGGGTTTCCTCTCATTTGAAGCAACGAATAGTGTGCGACCTGGTGCTATCCATCTTTCAATCCTTACTTGAATAAATTCCGGACGAGTGTCTCTGTCTAGATGAGGGTGTAGGCTTCTAGGAACTCCAAATCGGTCTTTTCTAGTCTTTATCTTATCACCTCGGCGCACATGAATGGCATCATAATCACCGAGTAATTCCTTGATCTGTATGAAAAAGTTTGCTTAATTTTAAAAGATTAACAAAGCACAACAGTAATAAAAGAAGCAATATTCAGAATTATACAGTAAACATATATTTCTTCCGAATAAACCATGCATGCCAACAAGTGAAATAGTATTGCACAGAAACAGCAAATAAGGATAAATATTAGTTCAGCTCATCCGACCTTCCGACAATAAATATTAATATTTCTTCAACAGGCTTCCGGAAGTACTTTTTAAAAACTACCCAGGCCTCAAATATTTCCACATATATATGGCATGCATGTTTTATTAGATGCATACATCTTATCGTATTAATTGTATTTTTTTATTTTGAAATAAATAATTTATGTTTGAACATTCCAAAATAGCTTGTATCGCATGCTTAAAACGAGAATCTTGAATCCAACATAATAGAATAAAATTACCAAACAAACAAAATTTAAGAAAAATAAAAAAAAATAGCCGTTGATTGTACAACAATAATATTCAATAATAAGTAAATACAAACAAAAAACAATTAAAAAAGCCAAAACAAAACTAAAAATTCCAAAGATAAAAAATTCTCCGGCCAAAACCAACTCTTTCATTCCCACTAGAAAAATTATCCACCCCTATGCTCCTCAGCGCTTCGCATCGCCACCCTTGATGGCCCGCTCCACCAATCCACCATTGACAAACATTTTATCTTATGAGTAAGCTTCCAATGAAGTGTCTAACATGCGTGGATCAATAGTTAAAAGGAAAAATTATTAGGTGCGGAGTACGCACCGTCCGCACAAGCATTGGGGGGTGCTCGGTACCGATCACCCGCCAATGCTTGTTGCGGACGGTGCTCCCCGTCCGCACTCCGCACCTAATAATCTCTCAGTTAAAAGCCCCACAAACAAAGTAGCGCCAGAACTCATGTTATAGTGCCTTTTGGTTTCCCGCAATCTCCATGCAAGCACATCCTAAATCCTTTTACCTCTTCCCCTCCAATCAACGATAAATCCCTAGCTGCAAACACTAAATAATGAACATGTTCAATGGTTCCCATCGTGCATTGAAATGCTGCAGTCAAAGTCTCTAAACAAAGAACAACTAGAGAACCCCATCTGCCCATCATTTCATTCCCTAAAGTCTACGCGAGTTCTCTAGCCTTATATTATAGCTTGGAATAAGAACATATGCTCATAGGCAACATTTTGAAGAACCTCGTGACCATCCTTAAGGTAATGATTGAGTTCCTAGAGTGTATTGATATAGCCGTAGCAAGCTACACGTGCACAAAGTTTGCCATCAATGCGAAAGTCCTAGTTATTTCTAGATTCCCCACTGTCGTTGAACTAGATTATATAGGAGTAAAGCACTTCGGGGTGAGATCCTAATGCAGTTTTCGTCTTTAGGCTATTGTTCCGGTAACTGCAAGCAGCCACAGATAAAAAAATGTTTTGGTTCCAACGTGGTGAAAAATATCATTTTGAGCATATTTGTAAATCAAAATTATATGTCCTAATGGTGATCAATGATGAGAAAGAAAATAAGGATGAGCAAGCACTTTTCTTCAATACTGAGTTGACATCTTCGTTTGATGATTATCCATACTTCAATGGGAAAGTCTAGAAAAGAATAAATATACCCACATTCTAGCAAGAAAACCATCGAGTTGTCCAACAATAATCAACTGGCTAAAACTCAGCAAACAGTAGCATTGATGGATCAAAGCAAATCTAAAACACGACATACATAAATGTAATAGCAACTGTGTACCCGCAGAAATCTTTAGCCAAATAACTTCCAGCAACTACTTCCATCCAAATAGACTACATTATTTGTAAAGAATAGTGTGGCTACTACTTCAAACCTCAAAAAAGCAGTCTAGATTGAATTTTGTTATATTCCAACAAGCAGCCATGGTAGAATGATAAGAGCACTGGCTCGAGTAATGACTTTATTGGCTCAATATGTAGAAGGATGCCCAACATTTTGTTCGCCCATGTCCTATTTGTCAGTAAATAAAGTATGATAGAATGTGTCCAGCAGGATTACCACAAACATTACCAATTTCAATTGCTCTTTGGGAAGAAATTTTAAATGGATTTCATATCAGCCGTTCTAAAAATTTATAAAAGACTATTATTTTTTTGGTCATCGGTAGACTAAATAACTCATATTTTTTAGCCTTAACCTTTGCTTATTGCACTTGTGCTGCATGGCATCCCACGAGTCATTGCATCCAAATGACTTCATTTGGGAAGGGTCGATTTTGACTCGATGAAATTGCTTTGAGCCATTGCAGCTCATACCATTCGGAGTCTAGTGGGTAAAAGGAGATGACTAGTCACTAGTCAGAACATTATTTATGAAGTTTTGTGATGGATTCCCTATGAGAAAGGGTAAAATTTTATCTTAGGTAGAATCCTCTAATAATACATCTACAGATACATTAATGAGAATGTCTCCTTTCTAAGTCATTTATGGAAGATCGCCACCAACTATTATTCCTCGTGAATAAGGACATCCTACATAGAAGTCATTGATTCCTTGTTGCGAGATAGAGATACGTTGCTTCATCATTGCATAAGAATTTGTAAAGTCCATAAAATAAGGTGAAAAAGATAATGTATAAGAAGCATAACAAGCCATAATGAGCGATTTAGTTTTGATTAAGATGTAATCTTATAGACAAACATTAATGATAAACATCACTATAACAGAAATTGTCGAGTAAAGACAGACTTTACATATAAATTTGAGCTACCAGAAATAGCTAAGATACCCAATTGTTCATATTTCATGTCTCGAACCATTTCTACAAGACTCCAACATACAACCAGCTACATTAATAACACAATTTAATGAAGGCTACCCATTGGTACGACCTTTAGCAGTCATAAATCATCGCATCTTTTACACGGGGTCTGGCAAAAGCCTTACAATTATAGATTTAAGGGGAATAGTTTTTAGTATAAGATGGTTCGGGGGGGAGGGGGGTAAAAAAACACCTGGACAGATTTCTACAATAAATGAAGATGGATAGTTAAGGTTGTTGTGAGTCAATTAGTAGTTCATTATATAATAGAATGTTAGTTAAATTATGTAAGAAGATAGAAGTATAGGATAGAGTATAAGGACAAATAAAGGAATGAAAGGTAAAATGCTCATTTCTTTTATTCAGCAAAAATGGTCATTAATAGATTAGAATGGATAAAATTAGGAAAGGTAATGAAATCATACAAAAAAAGAGACAATTGGCTTAAGAAACTACAAACAAATATAATTTTATGAAAGCATCTTCTGATGCAGTCTAGGCTAAGCTTTTTTATTTCAATTTTTTTTTTTTTTTTTTCACTTATCGTTTCTAGTGGCTTTTTGTTTTCCCTACTATCTTCTTATTTTCCATGTTGTCTACTAATTTTCCCAGCCGACTGCTTGAATTCTCTACTGCTGATTGTTTTCCCCATGCGGCTGTTTGGTCTTCCCATGATGGTTGTTTGGTTTCCCCACATGGCTGCTCAATTTCCCTACTGTTTTCTTGGTTTCCTTATTGTTTTCTTAGTTTATCTATTGTTGGCTACTCGTATTCTTCCCCTTGCTGATCCATGTGTTGTTTTCTTTGACTTCTCCATATATGAGCTAATGTGGAGGGGTTTTTGTGGCTGTTTTGGTGAAACATTTACGTGGGATAATAAATGTCCTCCCCCCTTCATTTCTCCTATAAATTGGGGCTGAATTTCTTTGTGAAAAGAGAGTAAGATGTGATAAAATTTTGGATTGTGAAACCTGCGTGTTTGTCATAGTTTGCGAGCTATCCTCTTCTACCTTCCTTCTTATATTTCGTCTTAGACTTTTATATATTCTTCTCTCAATGGTTCCCATTCCACTTGTATATTTCTCCTCAAATTTTTGATTATTTGTAAGTTGTGTTGTGTCCTTTTTATTTGAAGTTGTAAGGAATTATTGCGTCCTTTTTATTTGAAGTTGTAAGCTATTGTTAAGTCCTTTTCTATTAGAAGTTGTAAGCATTATTGGGTTATGTTTTATTGTTGTTTTTGTTTTTGCTATATTGAAAGGAAGGTGTTTAGTTTGCATATCTAGTGTTCTCTTACTTGGTTCAGAGATTTTTAAATCGCATCAATTTGGTATCAGAGCTTGTTGACCCCTATATCTCAAACCTTGTGAGAAAGGACCCAAACTGGTGAATAAAGTGACATGCATCTTAGCGTCACACGTCACTTGAAGGGTCAAATGACCTCCGAATGCCAAACGGACAGCGTTATTACAATCAGAACATCGAATTCTGCTAGGTCGAGGCCCCTCGCAGTCGAATCGGATGAGATCGGTCAAAAGGTACGACTGACACCCGAAATTAAAGCGCGATGATGATCAAACGACGTCGGATCTACGAACAGACTTCGTCGTTGCGTCCGGAACATTGTAAACCTCTAAAAACTACATTTTGTTTATTCAATTTGGATCATCAGGGTTGCTGTTCGAGATAAAAGCACACATATCAAGGAAAATAGGCCTCAGCACTGCCCAAATGAAGTCCGACCACGAAACGAACTTCGCCAATGCAATCAGAACATCCTAAATACTTATGAATGATAGTCAATTTATTCAAATTAAAGTATGCGAGGAGGTCAACATGCATCCCGAGGCAGAGCACGAATTTCAAGGAAAAAGATCGATCGGAGCTACCCAAATGACGTCTGATTGACAAACGGACTTCGTCGTTGTGTCTGGAACACCGTCAATACTCTAAATGCACTTCCAATTTGTTTGAATGAGATTTTGCACACAAATCGAGGTGGTTCCAAAGCGACTACATGTATTTTGAGAAAAATTAGCCTCGACGTTGCTCAAACGATGTCCGATCGCAAAACAGACTACGTCGTTACGACCGGAACATCGACAATACCCTAAATTCACTATTAATTTTTCTAATTTTGATGCTCGGAGAATTCGACACGTAAAACAAGATAAATGCACAATTTTTGAGAAAACCACGCAAATCAAGATCATTTTGTTGTTGGACGCATTGCTATCAGCCCAAATTTATAATATTACTTATAATAGCAAGTCATAATTAAGCCCTATCAGCAGATTTAACCCAAAATCAACAAGTCAAATGAATAATCAAAATCACATTAAATGTTCACCTCGTCTTTGTCAAAATCTGCTCTGAATCCCTGTCAAAATCCCATAAATCCTACTCAGTCACTTCTACAGAGCCCATCTCATCGTCATTAAAACAAATTAAATGAGGCCCGTTCATTGCTCTCTTCTGCTATCTCCACACGCAAGGCACAACTAATTTTTCACACAATCTTCCTCATGCCTCTCCCTTTGAGGTCCAACTCTTCTTGGATACGATCACAAGCCTTCTAAATTGCCTGTAGCTTCTTATCCGATCCCCTGTTCTTGTGCAGCAAGGCAACAAATTATTCCAGCTGTAAGGTTTCTCTTCCTCTTGCCCACTCTTTTTCTTCTTGCCTGTAGTTCGTGCAAGAAAAGATGATGAGTGGGAGAAGCAGTTCAAGATACCCCTTCACTGCTTCCCAATGGCGGGAGTTGGAACACAAGCTTTTATTCCAAAGTCACATGGCCTTCAGGCATCACTACAAGATGAAGCTTCCTCCTCGACTCACTTCAACTCACCTTCCTTGCTTTCATCATCCACATGCATTGGGGTGGACTGCTTTCAAAATGGGATATGGGGAGAAACAGAGGATCAGCAGCCAGAAAGATGCAAGGAGAATAATGGAAAGAAATGGAGATGCTCACAGGAGATTACCAGATTCCTAGCACTATGAGAGGCACATGCATAGAGGAAAAGAACGTCAAGAAAGCACGTGGAAATTCCTTGCTACTAAAAAACCAATTCCTCTTCCACTTCTTATGACAATGTTTCTTATTCAGCAATCTCTCAAGCCGCAATCAACTCCGATTCCAACCTACTGGGCTGGAATCTGTCCTACATCTCACGGCTTGCCTCCTTGGCGACAACTTTGACGCCTGATGCCATTTAAATTTTACGAGCTTCTTTCGCTAAGAATCAAAGGCCGCTCTCTTTTCATGGCTTCATCGGTGGAAAGGATACGACGTTTACAAATAGTGAATCATACATTTATGGTGGTGAAATAGTGGGCTTTTGCTGGTGCATATAAGATTAAAACAATAGGCTGAAGGTTACTCTGTTTGAATTCAAGATAGAGCAAAATAAATAATATAGAATAAAAAAATACATCGGAAAGATGGTTTTGGTATTGGGTGAAGAGCAAAATCCAATGACAGAAAGTGAACTGCAGTTGGAAGATTGGCTTGATGATTTGGGACTTCGAGAAAAGTAACAGTTCCATATTTCTCAACAAGCGTATGTGTGAGAAGGGGATGCACAAATCTATTCCTTTCAATCAGTTGCAACTAATTCAAAAGCAATATACTTTCCACACAATCAATTGAAGATCCTATTGGAGCCGTTGTCATGGTGGACTTTTTCCATAAAGGTATGTCGAATACAGGGAATTTTGAAATTAAACTCCAAAGGTGTTTATCATGGGGTCTTATGATCTCTGGGGAGATTTCATGCAATGGTTGGTTATTTCTTATGGCTGGCAAAACCATTGTTAATGACTAGGATTTAATGAAAAGCCAAGTATTTGGTTGCAGTCATAAAGATGGCTCCATTATGGTGAATGTTCAAGAGGATTTAAATTCAGAGAAAGAGGAAACCTTTTCAACTTGATTTTCCTTCAAGATGAACTCTATCTCTCTGCTGTGTTGAAGAGTTAAGAAACGAGAGATGAGATTGTGAAGCATCATTCAAATGAGGTGGGAGGGGAAAGGCAATTTATGAAATTCTCCGTGATATAAATCTGTGAAGTTTTGAACCTTATTGCTTATCGCTACAGTAACTTTTTATTTAGATCTTAATGAAAGTGAGAAAGGAATTAAGGTGATTTATGCAAAAAAAAAAGAGAGAAGAAGCAAAAAAATGGGGACAAATCAAATGTAATTTTTTTGTGATCCTGTTGTTGTCGTCATCCCGTGAAGGTATAAAATTTTTCTAACCTAAAAATCTATTCTAATAGGTTTGCGACAAGCTTGGCAAACTCCCACTCGTCACGTTAGCAGTGGGGGGAAACCGGTGGGGACGCTGAGAGAGATGATAATCTTTCCGAGCGCTCATGTAGTGGTGAGGGGAGACAAAAATAAGTACTCATACATGAGAAAACAACTGTGCTTATTTTCAACAGGTGGCCGAGACCTTAAACGCTCATGTAGCAGCAGGGATTGAAGAAAATGTAGCCGAGTGTCTACGGGATCTACCTTGAAACGCATGTGGGTGGAGGGGAAGGCTAGTTCCCAAAAATTTTTCTAAACGAGAGAGACGCCGTGGAGGATTGCCAAAAAATTCGATGAAAGAACAAGGAACTTGAACAAAATTTGGACTTACATGGGATCTAATTTGGACAACTTGGACTTGGACTTGAACATAAATGAGACTCAAACGATTAACTAAAAAAATTGAACCTAAATGGAATAAACTTAACCTTCAACTTCATTTGAGCATTAAAAGGATGTAACTCGAATAATTATGAATCAAACTTGCATTTGTGAACATTGTACTCGAGCTATACAAACATCTATAGGAAATTGAGCTCAAATTCGAACTAGACTCGAGCTTAAATGGGCATTGAACAAATGATTTAAGTTAAAAAGTCCAACATTCAAAGTGAGAGCCATGAATGTTAATCAATGAATTTGATCATGCAAGTAAAAATCTATGAATGAATAAGAGACTTACATTTCAAAAGGGCATGAATTGTTGATTCATTCACAAGGAATAATGCAAGTTCTCAATGAACTTAATGACATATACAAAGAATATGCAATGATCGTGACCATTCACATGCAAGCATATGCTGAAGACTTGTGGTAGACAAAATAATGCACCTATAAGCATGAACATGAATCTATTGCACATAGAATGGTCCACTTACAAGAAACTGCAAGAAACTTATGAATGTCTGTGAACGATTGTGAGACATATACATGTGAATGTGATAATGTTCTATAATCGACTTCAACGAACAAATGCATTCAAATATGCAAGCAATGAAGATTGAAATAGAGGGCAGTCTTCATGCCAATCTTATAAGAAGACATAGTAATCCCAACAAACAACAAAGTCCCTTTCAAACTACAAGCTATGTTCAAGAATAATGAAGATCGTGTGATCTCTAGCATCATTCACTCACAAATAATAGTGAAGGTTCATGCAAATTGTTTGGCTTGAACAATCCCCAAGAAGCATATATGATTGTGACAATTCATATACAAGCATATGCTAAGGACTCATGGTAAATCAACTCTCAATTGCACACAAACATTCAGGGGTGGAGAAGCAGCCAAGTTAGCAATTCAAAAGAACCCCCTTACTGTTGTTGCTGCATACTTATCAACCCTGGCAGTTCGCCATGTGCAAGGAATCCTAAGATTTCCACCCTAAGCTGACCCGCCAATATCCTGCCTTCAATTGTCACAAGTCCATAGATGGAATGAAAATATTTTTCTTATTTCAGGAAAGTAGATGGTGTCAATTATTCAACACATTTTAATCAAGAACCCTAGCTAACTAGTGGAGCTCAAAAAAATTGAATTCATTGGATGAAACGTAACCGAAAAATATTTTCCCTACTGTTCAGTTATTTATTCGCATCTTCCTCTCTTGAAACTTTGATTTCCGTTCTTGGAGTATGGGCAAAATCTAATTGTGCAAAGGTGTCAAGAAAACCATCAGCTTCACTGTTCCAGTTCTCAGCAATTCAGCTGCACCGTTAAATGCATCAAATTTTTTTTTGCTAGTATTCGTGAAAGACTTGATACAAGCAGCACCATGAAATTTTCAATGATGTACAAAATATGGAGGAATCTGCATCTGCCACATATATGCTTTACGGATTTTTAGAACTACATCTTTCAAGGTAATTTATATGGAGGGGACTTGCTTCATATTTCAGAAGTAGATTAAAAACCATTTGTATTTCTAGAGAAAATGGATAGAAGCTTGGGATTTTGCAAACTTTAAAACTATATGACATTTGCATATGATATAGCTTAGAAACTTGGCATTTTGCAAACTTCAAAACCATATGGCATTTGCATATAATTTAGCTTAGAAAAGTCAATACCCTGTTGGCTGCATCTCTTAACTTCGGAGCTGCACTCATAGGAAGAAATGAATATGGCAACAAGACTGAAGTATGGTTGGTTCGATCCTTGCACTCCATAAACCTGCATGTTATCATGATAAAAATTAGTTCTTGCAGTATTAAACATCACATACCAAACTGTTGTTTATCCTTTAACCATTGATAATATAGAAGTAAATGGTGATAATAAAATGTATATGCCAGAAAATTAAGATAAAGCTACAAGGAACAAGTGGGAACCATAAAGTTTACCATGAAAGAGAACTTGCAGTACGGTTGATTAGCAAAACATTTGAATAGAAGGACTTGTATTTGAGATCATCCCTACTAGTTCCATCCACATGAACCAAACCCCTCTTTCCTAGCTTCATACTTGTTGATAGAACACGATACCACATTTTTGAATTGTCAAGTATTACTGGAATAGTTTTTGAAATAAGATCCACATCATACAAAGAGCTCATGGCACAAGAACCGGCTGCCCATCTAAAAGAAAACAGTAAAATGTGAATTGAAGAAACTAAGAGTTTAATGAGATAAAACAAGTCAATTGTAATGTCACATGCACACAAGCAAATATTTTGAAGAAAATATGAGTTTCGTGAGGTAAAAGAGCTGATAACAACACTGCAAGCACGCGAGGCCTCACAAGAGAGCCCGATAGCCCACCCAAGAATAACTTAAAGTCTAACTTTTAGACAAAGTTTGTCAACATTTTTGGCACTAAACATTCTCATGGGGAATTAAAAATATTTTGCTATTGATGTGATTTCAATCAAAAGTCTTTTCATTCTATGATTAAAAAAAAGTTCATATGATTTCACTTTAAATGGTCAATTATGACATCTATGCATCACACACCCATGTGATTTGAAGAAAATAGGAGTTCAGACAGTAAAAGAAATCAATTACAATGCGAGATCTCATCCACAAAAGCACTTACCAGCCCATTCACTTGTGCACCAACAAGAAAGACAATATTAATATGAACACCCAAAAGTCTACCATTTACCGACTAAGTTTGCTTGCTTTGTTTGCCATTAACCATACTCATGGGAAATTAAAAGATACTTTGGTGTCCTGCTCAAAATAATATCGCATGATTTTCCTTTAAAATTTCAATCTATCATACAACAATATACTAGCCTTATTAGTTTAGCGGAAGTTACAAATGTTCTATTAAAATGAGTTCACTAATATTTTAGTAAAATGAGTAAGCTCCCAACTCCCCCATCATGCAGCATTTAATCAATCAGAAAAGAGAATATCCAAGGAACTAGAAGTAAAGTATTAGAAAAAAGACAAGCTATTAGCTAAATTAATCATACTCCTAATCCCCCCCCCCAATCCTGGGAAATTAAAAGATACTTTAGTGTCTGCTCAAAATAATATTGCATGGTTTCCCTTTAAAATTTCAATCTACCATACAACAATATACTAGCTTTATTAGTTTAGCGGAGGTTACAAATGTTCTACCAAAATGAGTTCACTAATATTTTAGTAAAATGAGTAAGCTCCCAACTGCCCCATCATGCAGCATTTAATCAATCATAAAAGAGAATATTCAAGGAACCAGAAGTAAAGTATTAGAAAAAAGACAAGTTATTAGCTGTATTAATCATTCTCCTAATCCCTCCCCCCACCTTGGGAAATTAAAAGATACTTTGGTGTCCTGCTCAAAATAATATCGCATAGTTTCCCTTTAAAATTTCAATCTATCATACAACAATATACAAGCTTTATTAGTTTAGTGGAAGTTACAAATATTCTACCAAAATGAGTTTACTAATATTTTAGTAAAATGAGTAAGCTCCAACCTCCCCCATCATGCAGCATTTAATCAATCAAAAAAGAGAAAGAAAGACTACAATACCAAAATAACACTCATCGTTAAACTTCTCAAAGGGACTAAAATGTTATTGCCTTGATCAAGTATAAACTGAATAAAGGAGCCTTGGGAAGTATTAAAGCAAATAAGAACAGTGAAAAGCATTAAAAAAAATCATTGGATAAGCTATCTAATTCAACAAGGATTGAGCCATGCAAACTTACAGTGGATTCAAAAGTTCATGCATAAGAAAAAACATAAGCACACTAAAGAGTATTAAATGACAACACCGACAAACATACCTTTCATCTGATGTGGCATTCAAGTGATGCAATATCCCCTTCTTGTTGTGTATTGGGTTAATGCACATTCTAGAAGGCATCACAAACACTCTGGAAAATCAAATGAAAACATCTCATCAACAATACCATGTTATCAATAAGGCAATGTTTAGCTACAAAAAGGATTTAGCAAATGCTATAAATCCAGATCTAGTGATTGTTTGGTATCCTATTTTAGATAAGCTTTAAGCAAGATTTAGCTTAACTCTTGTTAAAAATAATTTTGTTAAATTAAATCCTATTGTTTTCATCAACTCTATTTCAGCTCCATTATTAGTTAAATCCAGAATAGTTTAAATCCCACCGTTTAGATTATCGAACATATTTAAGGATTTTTCATTCTCACAAATTTTAAATTCTAAAACAAATAACCAAACAGTTTATCAAGATTTACTAATTTTTATGCCAAACAATTTAATCCTCTCAATGTTTACTAAAGCTGAATTTACATGATTTGCTAAATCATACTTGAACTAAATGTTACCTGTAGCCTAACATCCCCTTACTAACATGCCCGTAGAAAATTTCAAGAGGATTGAAACGTTTGGCAATGACAAGAATAAAATTTTGCTAAATCCTTAAAAATTGTTTGGATATTTGTTTCAGAATTAAAAAATTGCGATAGGTGATTTAACAAAACAATTGGGTTGAAATGGGATTTATCAAAATAGTAGTACTTAAATACTCTAAAATTCTATTCGGCAGGATTTAAGTTAAACCTTGCTTAAATCTGGCATAAAATAGGATAAAAAACAGCCCTAAGCTTATAACGTTTAACATGAAAGGAGGCAAGATATACACATTTGGAGCAGTAATTTCATACAAATACTTTCAAAAATTCCAAGCCAAGATTTTTCACCCAAAAAGATGAAATACTCCACGCAATATAATCCATCAATTCCAACCGAATTTTTTAATCCGAAGCATAATGAGAGGAACCTTTTCAGATATAGGGCTTCCTCAAGCGCGCATCTGAGGCTGGATTCCTGGTGCCCAAGACCTTCACAAGAATCGCAATGCTTACCAGGGCAATCGATCCTATTCCCCCAGTACAAATACTTCCGCTCTAGCCCGCTTGGTCCATCCTTCTCGCTGGCTTTCGCCGTCCCAACTAACAGAGTAAATGGGAAGCGGAATACGGAGGTTGAAGAGGATAAAAGAATCCAAATGAGTCCAATGGCTACCGCTGCCGTTGCCAAAAGAAGGAAAGGAGATCCCGCCGTCGGATGCTTGCTTTTGGGTTTTCTGGAGGCGGCCATTGGAATCGCCAGGTAGAGATAGCCAGAGCGGCGAAACAACGAGAGATCTTAGCCATGTTAGACATTATGTTCTAATTAAATTTTTTATTTTAATGAGCCTTAAAAATAAGAAAATTTAAATTTTATATGCCTCATAATATAATCCATTATTTTTTTTTTCTTTATGTGTGAAAATATTCTTCGGATTAAAATATAGTTATTAATTAATACTTTGTTTTAAAAATTTATAAAATATTTTGAAAATTAATCTAGCACTTAACCTTTGTTCTATCATTTTATTGAATATAATTTGACATTAACAGTTAAATATAAATTCAATTAAGTATTTAAATATATTCAAAAAAATATTATATGATAGTTAAAATTTATTCGAACACTTAATTGAATTTATGTTCAACTCTTTCATCGAAAATATTTGAAACGATCGTTAAAGTGATCGAGCATATGGTAGATTAGTTATTCAAACATGATCAAATAAGATTCTTAAAAAATTAATATTTTGAAGTGATATGTTATGTGCTATTTGGACAATATCACAGACAATAGTGCAATCACAAATAAACTATATCTAATAAGATTCTAATAAGACAATCACAATAGTTATGATAACACATAAATTCTATAAAAAAAAATTATAAATTCATCCATGTTGTACAACTATTATTTTTATTCTACAAGATTTATTAATCAATATGTGTATGAATGTAAACATTCTATCTTTTAAAAAAAAAAATAAAAAATTTTTTTGAATTCATTGTAGAATATTATTTTTATATTTTAAGATGGTATATTTTTCTTAACGACGTATTTTATTATAAAAATAGAAATTTTCAAGTTAACGATTTATTTTTCAACAATTTAGAGTTTATGGTAAAATGGTGATGGATTGTAAAGGGTATGATGGAGAGAAAGGCAACAATAGCTTAATTCCCGCTAGTTTGAGCTAGTTTTTTGAACTCTTATGAGAATGAAATTAATTAAGCATTAATATTGAGAAATGGATTTGGAGTGTTAGTGTCACACCTCAAGAACTAATGGAAGAATTAATTTTTTAAACCTATTTATTTTTCAACCTCAATATAGAATAAACCAGATCTAACTAATTAATTCAAAACAACATTAACAGTTTATAGTATCATCAATTTCATCTCTCTAATCATATGTACATTAATCCAATTCACACAATGAATATACATCAAAATAAATAACTAAACTACCAAAATATCTTAAAACCACGCTTCTGACGAACCAACCCTTATCAACTCTACTCCACAAGGCCTTTTTTATTTTTTGAAATATCAGACAAATATAACAAAATGAGCATCACTAGCTCAATAAACTTCTTTTACCATCTCATCTTGTATATCAATATCCATTTCATTATAAATAATAAATTATTCTGATATTAAGTTAAATATCAGGTTGTAACTAAATACTTAATAGAAAGTAGAGCTGTCAACATTTGACCCGAGCCGAAAACCCGACCCGAACCCGACCCGAAAATTTCGGGTTTGTGTTGGGTCAACCCGAACCCGAGAACGAGTCGGGTTCGGGTTTAGAGATTTCGACCCGTTTGTAAACAGTCGGTTCGGGTTGACCCGGCGGTTGCCGGTTGACCCGCCAACCCGTTTAACCCAACCACGCGGACATGCCCAGAACCCGCAGCTGCCTCGTCCGCTCCGACCCACGCGCGAACCGCGCCCGACACCGCGCCCGACCTCGCTCCCGACCTCTGCAGTCGACCCCTCGCCGACCTCGCTGGCTCGCCGCTCGCTGCGTGCGCTCGTCCGCTCGACCCCGCGCCGACCACACGCTCGACACCGCGCCCGACCTCGCGCTCGACCCCGCTCTCCGACCACGCTGGCTCCGCCGCTCGCGGCTGCCTGCGTCCACACCGACCCCCGCGCGCGACAACGCACCCAACCCAGCGAGCGACGACGCGCGCGACCCCGCGCGACACCTTTCCCGGGTCGGGTCGGGTCCGGGTTCGCATTTCCAACTCGTTTACCTAACCGGGTCGGGTTAGGGTTGACCCGTTTGAACCCGGGTCAGTTCTGGGTTCGACCCGAACCCGACCCGTGACCCAAAATTGACACCCCTAATAGAAAGTAACTCATATGCAAGTCAACATGTCGATGCTTTAGAATATAGATTTAGAAATTACTATTTAACTTTACATATAATATTTACTTTTGTACCTTTCATAAGAATGCTTTTATAGGGTTATCATAATATGCTCATTTTTTGAGCCATCATTGTACTTTACATGGACAAACTTCACATAGGTGTTAGAAATAACATAGCATTCTCATCATCATAATACCACTTGCACTTATATATACTTAATTCAACAGAATATGTATATAATTTTAAAATTTTGCCATAATAGGTTAAAAATATCACTTATATTTAAATTATTGAATTATCAAAGTGTGCAATACATGAATGTAAATTAGATGAACTGAAAGAAAACTAAATTAGTAGTGCAAATAGAAAACTCTGGATGTTGTTAAGTGCCTCATGACAGGGTCCTTATTCTTTTCTGTAAACACGTAAAACTTACATAATGAGCATAAAAGCCTAGCAAATAACCAAAATCTTACAACTAAAATTAATGCAATTCAAAAGAGAAATAGTATGTTGTAAATCATATAAGAAAATATATTAATCAATATATGCTATATATAATTAATCATTCATTCAGCCATATCATTCAATCATTCTTATAAGTCTATCATTTACACAATTATATAGTAAGTATCTCTATTGAGTAACATCAAACAATAATAAAAATTATTATTCATAAGCTCAATGCCCTTATAATATCAATAATAATAGTCAATATTATCATTAGTTATTAGTATAAAAAACTTGTATCATTTATTAGCATTAATAATCAGAAATCAACATTCTATTAGATATTTAGATGAAGGTATTTTATATCTTACTCCTAGACTTATGATTCCCAATTAGTTGCCCCTTATGACTCCCAATTAGTGTATTCCTTAAGACTTGAATTACGTGGATCAGTCGCCCCGACTTCTTTTAACTCCCAATCAGTCTCGAGCTCCTTATGACTCCCAATCACTGAATAAGTGAATCCTTAGGTTATATATATATATATATAAGTACATTTTTTTAATCAGATCAATTCACCACATCTTTTCAATCAGATCAGTTCACATTCCAGTATATATCAATCTTATCAATCATTTCAGTACATATTATGTTTTAATATTATCATATCAAATCATAGTACATTACTTTCAACCTATTTTCATTATACATTTTTCATATTCATTTAATGTAGAAATTCTTATACACATTTTTAACCAGTGAAAATACAATAAAACTATATCAAATAATTTAGAATGATAAAATATATCAAATATCAAAAGTTACATGGTGAAAGCTTACGAAATCAAGACATAATATATTTTTAGCATATTTAGGAGAGATTAAATCTATAGAAATCAAAATTATTAAAAACAAAGGTAAGAGAATAATAGTTACTTACTTTGAATAAAATTATTTTTTTATAAAAGGAACAACAAACAAAGAAGGACTTTTTGACTTTCTTTTTCCTCCCTCTCTCTTCCTACTCTCCCTTCTCCTTCGATTTCTTCACAACCAAGCAAAGAGTAAGGGAGGAGGTGGGGTGAAATGGCATAGATATTTGGAATAAAATACATATAAAATCACTTTTAATGGTCCAGCATCATAGCTCTCTGACCCTGCGCAGCATGGATAATTTAAAATTATTATAAAAATAGAGACTCAAATGCCACAGTGTTCTTAAATGTAGCACCGCAATGCTGACAAGCACATCACCAAAGTGCTCTAGTTTAAATAGAAATCAAAATATTCAAATTTTAAAATACTTTTCATTTTTGGATTATTTCAATGTCCCAATATTTGCTTATAACTCAACTTTCACTTATAACTCCCTTTTAAACCTCCCACACCCGCATACAATAAGTTGGACTAAAATAAAGGAAAACAAAAAACCTCCCACATCAGTATACAACATATGGGTCCAAAATCCCTCAAACATCCACACAAGGTAGATAGGGCCATAATAGAATATGTAGGGCACTTGTAACCTCACAGATAGTGTGCTTTTCACATTTACCTTTATCATAATATCCTCCATATGTCATGCTATGAACATGCAATTTAAATATTTCATCATATAATTATAATATTAAACGTGAAGATGATGATGCATAAACTATGAGGTATTAAACATTTAGGTATTAACACAGGCATAAAATGCCTACTCAATTAACATTGTCTTTTTTAAATATTATTTTAGAGTGATGTTTAGAACATTAAGGATTTTATCAAATTACTATAAGCGTTATAAATATCATATTTAGTTAATACTCACAAAAATTTGTACAGAGAAAACAAACATTTGAAATTTTGAATTCTTATCTTAAAATGATTAGAATGGTGTATACTATAATGTAGTAAAAATTACTTATTGGAAGTTTATTAAAATATTAAAAAAAAATCTTTATCTATATCTCATTATATACTTACTGGAATTGAAATCAGATATATATGTTTAGAAGCATACCTTATGCCTGACAAAACCCTTAAATGAGGGCCAATGAATGAATTCAACTTCGCAGCCCCCAAATCTCTCCCTCTTTTCTCTCTCCTACTTTTCTCTTCATTCATTTAAGGGTACAGGGGTGTTTTGAGTGATTTTAGCATAATGGTTTACACACACACACACGGATATATATATATATATATATATATATATATCATTTTTTTTTATTTGATGATGCTTAAGGATAGATGTGGTCATCGTGATTTCTCTCCTTAGGATTAGATCTTCTAGAGATGGATAATGCCCTCTACGGCACCATCTTGATTTCAAAATTTAAAATTCCAAGCCCGATCTCCTATGGTAAGCAATGCTTCCTTCCCACATGATCTTCCAGTTTTCTTTTCCTTAAGGCTAGATGTGAGTCATCGTGCTTTCTCTCCTTAGGATTAGATCCACTATTGATGGAGTATACCCCCGTGGCACCAT